CAGGGTAGGTCTAAGTGGTGAGGAGTGGGACTTTGGTCGTGCACCTAACATCACGATGGATGACTATCCCATGTATGGGCTACTTGTGGGGTTCTCCCTGTGGGGAACCCTATGGCGCCTCCTTTTTCCTCTGGGCTTCTGGCCCACTGTTRCGTGTAGAGTAGGACCCACTCGTAGTGGTACGTCCACCACACCATACACAAAGGAGGAGGAGGAGAAGATGGCCGCCCTACTGCAAGAGAGGAAGGAGAAGAAGGAGGCCAAAAAGAAGGCCTTAAAGGAGGAGCAGGCGGCCAAACTGAAGAAGATCGAAGAGGAGATGGCCAGGGAGAAGGAGAGGCTAATAAAAGAAGAGGAAGAGAAGTTGAAAAAGGTAGAAGAGGAAGAGGAAGACCCGCCAGTGCAGAAGAGTAGTGGACAGCAWAGCGGCAGTCCTGGTGGGGAGYTGGAAAAAAGGATATCCGAATGGGTGGCTAATCTGATTGTGGGAGAGGAAGAAGAAGTTAGCATGTATATTCCGCAGGATCAGCAAGAAGCCGCCATGAGGGCTTGGGATGCAGAGAAAGACCCCCTTAGACGCCAGGCGTTGGAAGATGAGAAGAGGATGGAGTGGAAGTTAGCGGTGATGAGGGAGAAAAAGAGGAGAGTTGACAAGGCAGCAGAGGCGGCGGAAGCACTAGAGGAAGTGAAAACGATAGAACAACAATTAGCCGCCCAACCCGATTTCCCGAATCAGATGCGAGTCGTGGCTCGCAGCATCGCGTGCCTGGCACGAGTCCAGGCAGATCAGTATGACTTCAGCAGGAGTCGAGATATAGCTGTGCGCTCGATACGATTGGGTTTACGGGACTTTGCGCGGGAACTGGTAGGTGCCGTTGGAGTCGAGGTGGGACATCGCCTTGATAAGACTGAACGATTCTGCGCTGGCGCCATTGAGGGCGTCAAAGCGACAGCTCCTAGAGAAGAGGAGCCGCGCCCACCACGTAGAGAACCAATCAAAGTTAAGTTCTCGGATTCCTATGCTGGGAAGAGGGAAGGGAACTTTGATAACTGGGAAGCCAACGTGAAGACCTACGTGCATTTGCAACAGGTCTCYTCGGATCAGCAAGTCTTAATTGCGATCCATGCGCTGAAAGATGAAGCTGCCAGTTTCGCAAGGTCCTTAGTTCGCGCTGCCRACTGCAGCGACGATCCTGTCGCGTACTCCTCATTCACTTCTCTCACCGAATTTCTGAGATTACTGCGCGAGCGATTTGCTGACGTCGCTCGCAGTGTAAAAGCTTCAAATAAACTGCAAACCATCCATACTCGCAAGTGGAAAAGTGCCAGGGCGCTCAAGGGTACAATGGACGAGTTAGTGGCCGTCCCTGATCACAAAGTCACAGAGACCCAATTAGTTAACCTCTTCTATCGAGCTATGCCCGAAGCTTTGCGAGGGCACTTCTTCGCGAAGAGCGAAGACCCTACCACGACATACGATTCTCTGAGTCGTGAAGTAGTGGCCTTTGAAGCCAAGTCTGCGTCTGTGTCTACCTTCTGGCACAGAGATCTGGATAGAGGGAAGCCATGGAAGGGCCGCACTATCTCGGGGCAAGTAAAGACTAAGGATAGCCTCGTCCTAACTTTAGACG